CGCGGTCGATACGCTAGCCTATTCAGGACTTAGCGCCTATAGCCTTTAGCCAACCAGAATTTAGCGGTCACACACTAACTTCATTTGATTTTCGCGGTCACGCACTAGCCTAATTAGGATTTCGCGGCCAACTCAGGGGCACGCTCATTTCATCAAGCTGTAGGAACTTCAAGATAATCCAAGTCAAGCATTGTAACACTACATCTTGATCAATATGCCCGAAGCACCTAAGAAGCGTGGGCGACCTCGAAAGTACGATACTCCAGGGGCGAAAGCAAGGCAAGATGTTATTGCTAAACGCGCCCGACGACGGCTTCGGAACTCCTCAGTGCATGGAGATATCCGATTTCAAGTCTATGTCCCCCAACCGATAGAAGCTTTGCCACCTTCATCCTCGCTGCAACGTCGCCCAGAGTCAACAAGCAGCCTTGACGTACTGGTGGATGTCGCTAGCAGGTCAAATCGAACTGAGATGCCACTCACCAGCCTCGAACCACACAGAACTAGGGAGACTGGCTTAAATTCGCCTAGCCCGTTAGGAGACGCGGCGTCGAGATCGTGCGAGATGGGACCATATGGTGACCAGTATCACTCGATCGAAGATGATGACATTTGCGAAACTTCGGACTCACGGTTGCACAATGCTACTATATCGGGTTCCTCACAGAGAGACAGCACACTGAGGTTGTTGCCTGAGAGAACAAGCACCCTACCCGACCCAGATGCACATGAAGCAGTCGAAAACGACGCGAGTAGAATACGGGACGATGAGAACGCAACCGGCCAAGAAGACGGAACTGGCGGTGGATTGCTGTCCGATGTCGAGTCTCAGTTAGAAGACGCTTTTGAAACAGACTCCAGCTCCGAATCGAATGTCTCAAATGCTGAAAGTGAGATGGACATAGATGACGCCAGTGTTCCTTCCGAGTCGGATCTCTACTTGGCAAAACGTTTCTTAGAAAGGACCTGGGGGCGTTTATGCGATTGCCCAGGGGAAGGGGAAGAGGAGGAGGAAGAAGAAGAGGAAAATGCCGACGAGGGTGCACGGCCCGGGCTCAGTCTAAAGGAAATGGCTGACTACTGGCGGAGCCTTGCGGTACCAGATGCAATCGGCACTGCGTCACCTCAGGCTCAGACAGACGAAAACGAACAGGTTCAGCTGGATTGGTCCCCGATACTAAGTGGTGGAGACGGTCGCCCAAACTTGAACATCCAAAGGTCTCAAAAAATTACCCCCAGCATCCAACGTACTTGGGATGTGGACAGCGTCATCTCCTGGGCTTCGTGTCTATCAATCAACCGTGGGCTTTACGTCTCATATCATCCGCCAACTTCAAGGAATTTTGGAAGCAGCATTCATGTCTTCCACCAAGGAACAGCTTTACACCTTATCCCTCACCTTCGACTGGGCAGTGGACGCCAATCTCCTCAATTCGGCGTATATGTTTTCTTCCCCGGAATCTCCCATGTCTATCGAACGACTACTTACCTTACTAAAGACGAACGGCGGATGTGGATCAACCAACTTCTTTTGCCCGCGATTCGTCACAGTTGTCCACCTGATGTGATCCAGCATCATCCCCGTTCCTTCGATGATGTGGAGAGCAAAGCCTACAGTCGCCAACGGGAAACCTGCGGGGGGATGGTTTCTAATAGAATAGATATGCACCATTACCTTCCTCAAGAATACCTATAGGCGATTTGGCACCGTATGACTCAGAATACTGAGCAACCCGAACTCGCCATATTTCGCGGAATATTCATTATACTCAGCGCGAAGAATATTAAGCTAGAAGCAAAATCTCCAACATTTTAAGAATGCCATGCCAAGATTACAACTCACCTTCATCAAGTATTAGATTAGTCAAGAGCCGATTTATCCAATACATAGGTAGATGTTAGCCTTGAAGACACTGCAGCTTCAGAGAAGCATATATTCTTACACAAAAGTCGATATTTGGAGTCCTAGGTCCATTCGATGAGGTATAGCGCCGATAAACCACTAATATCATCGGAATATTTCAACTAGAATCTTACCGGCTAAATAGGTAGCGCTAAGGTAGAGACTCGCCGATCGCACCCCCTGCGCAAGGGAGGTATTACTTATGCTCAACGTTATAACATAAATAAGGATCTCTTTTCGACAGCCTCTAAGCGGGACTATGGGCTATTTAGTGAACCGAACCTAGAGGGACTAATATGTCTATCTTTATTACTCGATGCTTGGATCGTGGCTGCTCGGTAGTATCGCAACGCCGGGCTAGCGACCTCGCTCTAATCTATACCGAAACTTAAATAGCTTCATAAAGTATTTTAAGCTATAAAGTCTCGAATAGGATTCGCGTTAGATAATTCTATAGAGATAAGCTTCGGCGTTCGAGAAAAATATCGAATCTCTTAGGAACTATTCATAGCTATAGATCCTTCTATATTATACCCTCGCGGTCTATATCGCCTATTCTAGGCATTACTAACTGCTCATATGAATGAATTTATACGATGGGAGTTTAATCGCTAGCTCTCCGCTATCGAATTTGTCCGGGCTCGAGGAAGCTAGCGTAATACTAATTAGGAAGATTATCAAAGAAATATGATTATAGTTACTATCCTTCTTTGTTCTTTAAAAGCTAGCATCAACTATCATTATATTGCAAAGCGCTCGCAGATATTCAAAGGCATATATAAGAACCGATAGAGAAAGCCTCTCCGTGGTCTAGATTTCGAGAATAATATGCGTTAGATAGGCCTCGCTTAGTTGCCTCTTAATCTTTTTAATTAGTCTAATTTTTACCTCTATGACGACCTCGTGGCATTAACCACATTTACTTTTAATAGACTCCAGGGAGTGTTTCGCAATTGGAAGGACGTAGAGTCTGTGAGCCGGGAGTATTATAAAGCTAGAGAATTAGAGGATCACCTGCGGACCAGCGAGCCGAGTGCTTATCCTAATATCTTAGACCGCATGCGGAAGATGATTTATCGGCAATTTACGCTCTAAGTTATTCGACAAACCTATAGCACTAACCCTATTCTCGACTCGGGGTTTAAGAGTAAGCACGAATCGGCCTAGGAAGGTTACCGAGGACTAAGCTATAAAATTATCTATACCTTGGCTAGCGAGCTACCTTATTTATCTTATATATGGAAAGGACCGCATAAATTAAGAAGAGCCTACTATGATAGGGTATAGGGGCTTTTCGACTAGGACGATAGGATCGCCCGCACACTCTAGGATCACTGCTATTATCGATAGCTAACTCGAAGGTTTTATACGTCTATCGAGACATGCCTTAGCGCCGCTAACGCAGAAAGCTAAAAAGGATCTCTAGGAAGACACGCATTGCCTCATTTTTAGATAATTCTATACTATAACATATATAGCTTATTCACTAGGTTGCCGAAAAGCCCAGGCTAACTTAATGCTATTCGTCTATTTATCTCCGGGTTATACTAGTAGAGGAAATAGGAGGATAATATAGAGCTTTGCAGGGAGGATCGTTAGTTACTCGGCGGAAATGTCTACATATTAGGCTTTCCCGTTAGTCTACTGCCGGAAAATGCGGCCGAGGCTAAGACTAAGGCCGGGACTAAGACTAAGACTAATGCTGCCGAAACGAGGCTACGAACTTCCTCAATCGACTTTAGATGTCCTATTCCCTTCACCGAAATCCCGCGAACTATCGAAGAAGGACTCGACTTTACGCGATAACTATATGCTTCCGGCAATTAGAAAATCTTAGCGCATTACGAATATGCTCGCGACTGCCTCGAGCAGGCTCTCGAGGATCCTTTATATAATCTCTTGCTGATAATAGTACTAATATTTATATCGTCTATAGACACACCTATACTACCGCAAAACAAGAACAACTTTAAGCCTAGACCTCGGAGGAGTAGATAGCTTTTGGCTATGATACTTATGACCCGAATGCTTTGGTTCCTTTACCCGCAGTGTTTCCCTTAGGATCGAGATAATAGTATAGTTCTTAGGATCCCCGAAATAATAAGAAAAATAGGTAAGGTTATATATAAGACCGATCCGACGACTCTATATTAACGAATCTTTTAGAATATAGAGGAATTAATAATTATATCCTCTATAAACTTGGCTAGGTAGTCTATAATCTAGTATACAAATATCGGGAAAACCTATGGAATTTTAAGCTAGATCTCTATTTAGATAAGGAGCTCCTCGAGTTGCGAACGGAGTTATTATTATTAATAAATAATCCACTTATATTTATTAGTCTTATATTTAATACCTAAGATAACATATAGGTCGAACGTTGCCTAAAGATTATCGCGATATATATAATATAGTATATGCGAAGTATATATTTAGATATGCGAATCGGGCTCCCGCTAGGCTTAAGTCCGCGGGGACAGTAGAATTCACGCAGGCAGTTAATAGCGATATTTTATTTTATTAAAATTCAAATATACTAATGCATATAAAAATAACTAAATAAAAAGATAGAGAAAAGCTTAATTAATTAATCGATATTAAGATTATTTTCCCCTTGCTCTTGACTAAGAAACTCGCAAAGAGAAAATATCTATCCCATTATTAAGATAAAGGTAGCCCCGTTAATTATTATTATACCCTGGTCGTTTATCTATGACTTAAACCAATGAGAGCAAGGCTTAGAGCGGATAGTATCCCTGCTGGCTCCATAGTAATGTCCTAAAACAGCTAGCTAGACTAAATATAACCAGGAGCAATAAGATTCCATCATAATTGCGAAGATTATTTTTTCTTACTTATAACTATAAAACAGGCAATAGAAGGCATTCATATCTATCTATTTTAAGTCGAAAGTATTATTTAAACTCAGAAAGACTGTTTATAAAATATCGTCATAGCCCTACCAAGCTATCGTCATACTTCGACCAATAAGAACAAGGCTTAGACTAGACGGTATCCTAGCTTGGACTAGACGGTATCCTGGTTTAGACCGGACGGTATCCTGGTCGGCTCCACAGCGACGTCCTAAAACAGGCAAGTTTTCATTTTACACAATATACTCTTACCCTAGATCACCATATATGGTGGCCCTAAAGGAAAGCAAGTGCCGAGTTGACCTCATGTTTGCTTTTTCATCATCAGCACGCAAGCTCTTAGCAGGCGCCCCCTAAAACCAGTCATCGTTTCATAGCCCTATTAGCCCATCTAATCATATATTGAGACTCGAAATTAAGCTCGCCCCTTTACCAGGTCTTAAAGAATACGGCCGTCGGGACGCATTAAATAAGAACATAAATAATACTAAAACACCCCCCCCCCCCCCCAGAAATAGAGGGTCTAATAAACCCGCAAATCTATGAGCATGCGATTTTATTCTGCCCTATCTAAAGATCGAACTCGCTAAGGGGTCATAGCGCCTCCATCCGTTTTATCCGAATCCAAGAAACAGCGAGAACGAAACCATAATAGAAAACGGCGCCAATAATTACATCAGCAGAGCCAGGCCTAGTAACTCCTAGAAGCCGACAGCCATAAAACTATCCGGCTTATAAGCCACGTCTATCACGGAGAGGCTAATATTACTAATAATTAGTAGGGCTTATAAATTCAAGTTCTTCCTATCATTAGACTCATAGTCCCATATCCTATTAGATTATCTAGACGAGCATTCCCATCGGGGCCATCCTGCCACCTCGTTAGCCAGGATTCAGCACCTCCCGCCGGAAACCTCTGCTTTTCGAGATTCCTCCATCGGTTATAAGACTTCTCTGCAAGTTCCTCCCATAGCTATGTTTTCGGCCGCTCCGGTAATACATTCCCCGATAGATATAAGACGAACGAGTAGTATGTTTTGCCCCGACGCTAATTTAATAAGCGCGGCAGAACTATTAATATAAGGATCGCTCGAGGCTATAGCTACCGCAATCTCAGGTCCTTTAGACATAGATAAAGAGGTAAGACCTAGCCTTATCGGAATATAAACTTACGCGACTTCGCATTCGAGCCTATTATACTCGCTAATACTTATTAATAATACCGTAGACTACCTAGCCCTAGGATAATAGTCCTTTATCGAACTAGATTATTTCAGAAAATCAATATTTAGACTAGGGCATCTTATATCCTCCATAGAACGATCTAACTTTGCCTATCCCTTTTCATCAAGTTAATATAGAATAGGTAGCAGAGAATTAGAGAGAAATTAATTCCGGCTCTCCGACCTTTCTAATAACTTTAGACTTTAGCTTCGCCCTATTCGATACTACTACTAATTATTTCCCTATTACTATACCCGCATCTAACCTCCCGCTTAGCTTACCTACTAGCCACCAATAACAACTATCCTCCGACTCCGCTAAACCACCGAAGCCTTCTCCGCTATTATTTATAGAAATTAACTCCATGAGAAGGCAGGTAGAACTATACCGCCTTGCCACTGCCTAGTTTCCTATTAACCTCCTTACCTCTTCGTGGTCTCGCAGTAATAATAGACCCCTCGACCGCAATTATATCGCCCACCTTTATTAGTCCTTTCGCTAGGGCAATCTCGCCCATCGAGCTAAGGAGAACTATATCTAGGTCACCTATAGTGCCGCCGCCGTCGATAATATCATTAGTACTATTACCGGAATAGATCGTTACCCCCATCATTATTATAATCTAACTAAATATCCCATACTATTATTTAAGCACTAGGCCGATATTAATGACGAGAAGCCCGAACTTATGGCCGGCTAATATCGCATTAAAGTATTGCGGGACTATGCAAAGTAAACTAGTTTAGGTTTAGACGATCTATAGTAGATCTACGAGTTTTATAATAAGGGTATATCTTTATTATCGCTATTATTATCAGACGCTAACTAGCCTAACCCCAGATATTCTCCCCGTCGAGTTAGATATTAAGCTCCGCGTTAACCGTCGCGACCTTACCTTACCCGATAATCATAGCTAGATCTAATTATAGCTCGCCTCCGCCTCCGACTAAGATCTCACCCTTTTCTCCCCTTAGAAAAATAAGAACAAATAAGTTCTTAAGAAAAGAATACTAGATATTCTCTATCTACGCAGTGAAACCTGCTTTCTTATTAGCCGATTTATTACTCTATGGAGGAATAAGCGATAAAGGCCTATAATCACCCGCTAGTGCAGAACTCAAATAGGGAGGGTAACCTTTAATATCTCCATATAGGATCATATAGCTAGTTATAGAATCGATGATATAAGTGACTCTTTATACTTATGGAGGTACAATCAATTCATTATCATTATCATAGTGGACCTTATTAGGTCGAGCTTTATGAGGCTAACGCGAGCGACCCTATCGTTCTATACGAGCAGTATTGGTTCGACATATTCTATTAGGTGCTCGAAACCCTCAAGACCTTGCTAACCCTAGCCGCCGAATCTATTTAAGTCTTAGACTAGGCTAAGTTAGTCACCGGTCTCGGAAACAATACATATACCGCCATAGACGTTCGCTGGCTCTTCTACCCGAGAGATAATAGCGATAGCGATAATTTAGCTGCCCCGACCTCTCGCTAGGCCGGCTTCTTCGGCTCGCTTAATAAGAAAAGCTATTACGACCTTTTCCGCCATATCCTTTAATATCATCCTGCCCTTCCCTTTCCCGATATATAGTCGCTCCTAGGGATAAAAAAGGACGAAGGCAAGATCATAATACGGGTCATAGACTATATCGTGCGCTAGGTCAATACCTAACCCACCGATATCGTGAATCGTCATGATAACAATAAGCCGCTAAGGCGACAGGATCTAATGCCTGCTATTAAAAGGCTAATAGCGACCGCATGCGGGGCCAATTAGTAGGCTTAGCTATGAGAGGAGGGCGACGACGTCGTAGCTTGGTTAGAACTGCGCTCCCGATCTCTAGAAAAGCAGGTCCTAGACTATATTCGGCGCTATATGGCTAGGTTTAAGGATCCTTCGACGAAACACTATCTTGCCCTAATGCCGGAAGAATACGATGATAGCTACGTAGAATGCTTCGCCGCTAATGATCTATAGGTAGGCCTTTTCCGGGTTATTCGGGATACTATTAGATCGGCATTCCGCCCAGTATAGTAGGATTTAGTATTAGATCGCGTCGGCGAGCTTCGCGGCGGAGATAAGGCTTACTACCCTAACGGCGAGACGCATTATAGACTAGCATTAGCTATTACGCGCGCTATCTATAATTAGCTTATAAATATACCCGAGGTAGAGGAGAACCTGGCACTCCGTGGTATATATGCCTCTACGGAACTTAGCACATATATCGATCAAGCTATTCTTATGTAGGCTATAGACCGGTATCGCAAAGCAATAGAAAACAATAAGTCTAATAATAGAGTCCCTTAGTCGGGCAAAGAGTTACGATTAATTTATATAGCGCACCAAGAGTATAAGAGGCTCTTATCGGGAATAATAACCATAGTCTTCTCCGATGATTAGTAGTAGTAGCTATCGCAAAGGTTTATCCCAATAAATAAGATAAGCGGGTCTTAGGGGCGTAATTATCGAACCGGGGAGGCGGCTAAGCTGGCAGACTTATTATTAATGCGGCAGTCAAGCTACACGGCCATATTACCTTCTCCAGGGTCCTTATAATCATCGAGGAATTATTATAAAAGAGGCACATAGGGGCAAGGAGCTATGGGCTATCTACCACCATAATAGCCGCGTCCCATGGCAGAGATTAGCCATTCTCTGCGACTACCGGGAAGGCTAGTAGGGGGAACTAAGGTTATTTAGTCGCAGGAGGGCAAGAAAAGCCTCTCGACTAGCCAACGCAGCCCCGGTCGATCTAACCTAGCTAAGAGAAACGCGCCAGCGTCGTCGCAGACAGTAGAGTAGATAGATAGACCGGTGGCTATATTAGGAAGCTAGCGATAGAAATAGATATGCTAGAGCTACCCTAATTTCGAGCGGATATGCTATAAAGAATAAGCGGCTAGGAGATATATGAGCCTCTCTACTTAGAATATCTTATATATAATACTATAATACTATATATCTTAAATTAAATCGACCAAAGTCAATAGAAAAAAAAAACATACTAATAATAATAATTATATCGACTCCTAAGCGCATATGGGAGACTACGTAAAATATATCTCGGTTAGTTTCGTGGATTATAAGAAAGTATTAATGAAATTTGCCTACTAAGTAGTGAGTATACTTATTAAGTAGCTTTAAAACGTAATAGCTACGCCGGAAGGACCGGATACGCCGGGAGGATCCGAAAGCGACTAAGGACGTAATAAAGAATATTAGAGCCCCGTAGCGCCTATGATAAGTAAGCTACTATTAAGGTGTGATAGTAGGTCTGACGTCATATAATATATAATAAGATATAATTAATAGTAATCCTCTCGTATTTATAAGTTAACTATAGCTATATGCGCGTCTAACCCTATTGGCGTATCTAGCGGCCAGTTAATATCTATAAATTAGGTTACTAAGACTTTCTAAAAGATATAATATTAATCTATCTAATACTAGGAGGAGATTATTAGCCCTTAGTCCTAGTACTCGATTCGATTTACTAATTTTTCTATTATATTATATTACTATTATCGTTATTAAATCCCCATTAAATCCCCATTAAGCGAATACTACCTTAAGGACCCCATAAGCCTTGCCGGTAATTCCTAGATATATAGTGCGTATAGTAGCGCCCCTTGGCAGGGAGCATATAGATATGGTGACGCATTCATTCATTCATTCATTTATCGTATTCGTCTCTTTCCGCTTTATATACATAAGGGTCGGGGGCCAACTAATAATTAATATTGGCTTTTGGTTTAAGTGCCCTTTAGGTGATAACCTTAGCTGACGAGTTCATTGCCGAGACGAACGACGAGGCTTTTGACGGGGCGCGTGCTCTTAACCTCCTATAACGCCGAGTTATTATCGACTACGGGAGTAAGAAGATAGGATCGAGGCCGGCGAGCGAAGAAGATAAATATTACCCCGTCTTTTGACTCGACTTTGTTAGTATCGTCGGCCGGCCACGTCGACCGATCTGCCGGTCTAGTTATTTCTTCGATAATATTACTATCTCCCTCCGGCACTAGAACGCGCCATATAGTGCGAAGCATATGCAAGGGATTCATTTTAACCTAAGCGGCCGTACCTTTCGCATCGCTACCGGTGCCACCTAAGAGGCTTAGTTCATCGTTATGCACCCGATCTAGAGGGCTTCTTCTAGAAATAGTAACCCTTATTATCGACGGCATAATATAGCATACACGAGGACTGCCCTCGTGCATAGTCGTGCCTTATTGCTTGCATCCTATATTAAAGATATCTTTCTCCGTGGGGAGCTCCTTAGCGAAAGGGTCGAGCCGAGATAGGCCCTCGGAGGGGCAGAGGCTTAGATAATCGCATTCGACAAATAGGTCATATTTTAGACTCGTTTTATGGAAGGCTAGGAGGAATTTATCGAGGGCCTTTCCGTCCGCGGCGGTAATACTTTCTGGCTCGATTACTAACCCGCTTTCCACGCATATAACTATGGGGCAAATATTAAGATTAAGATCAATAAGGAGATAGTAAATCTCGAGCAGGTAACTATCATCATCAGACCAACGCATGTCCACGGCGAGATAGACGACGACGACAACGACGATGATAATGACGGTTAGGAGAGACTACGACAAGGACGGGAGCAACAGGGTAAGGAAGAGGAGGAGGATAGTGATGATAATCAGTATCCTCACCCTGACGCCGAGGAGGACAGCCTCTTCCTGCCGGTAGAGGCTCACGGTGCTGCTTCCCTATCGCCACCATCTCATTCTTTCCGCCCCGATCACCATGAGATAATAGGTCGTCGACGATTAGAAGATAAGGTCGGTCATAGCGAGGAGCACGATCTGCCTACTGCCGCCGGTGCTGGGCGTATTATTATAACTACGTCGGCCCCGCTTAGTAGCGGCCATTCCCATCGCCTCGAGGATAAAGAAGAGGGAGGGAGCGGGGAGGTGTTGGGTGATGATAAGCAGGAGGAGAGATTCATCAGGTGGATGAATGAGTCTAAAGGCGCCATCATGACCCATTCGACAGGCGTCGCAAAGGCACAGCAACAACAGCAAGGAGAGGAAGAGGACGGGTTAACCCATCAACATCGTTCTAATAGTAATAAAGAGGACAAAGAGGAAGACCATCGGGGGGCCCCATCATCATCATCGGGTAGACAGGGAGAACACGACGCTTTGTACAGCGATGGCTTAAGGCGGCTTCGCGAGGCCCTCGAGGCAAAGTATAACCTCGACAACATCAGTCATATCTCCTATGCTCTAGCTATTGATGTCCACTACACCGCGGCAAGCACGCATCCAGGTGGAGGAAGAGGTCCTGCAGTATGCCTGCTTGCTAATCGTAACCGGGTGGCTAATGAGTTCTACGGAAGCAAATACACCTTCTACCCTCTTAGATTCCACCCTGCGTATAGGAATTTCACCTTGGATCGCCCGCCCGCCTTCTTAGACAGCGATCTATTCACTATCATAAAGGAGAATATAAGTCACCAGAACTAAGGTGCCGATATACTTTCCTTCGGGTTCTTCCAGGGATACTCCAACCTAAAGCGATCGATCCGTCACCGGCCCGACGACCTACTGGCGAGCCACGGTCTCGCGACGGCGGCACTCACCATTCCCTCGACCGAAGCTCAACGTACAGCTCGTCTCAGAGATAAACAGCAGCGCTTACTAGCTCAGGTGCGAGGACAGCTTACACCCAAAAACCCTAGTGCCTCGACGCCTTTCGCTCGGGAACAGCAGAGAGTCGAGGCGGCCCTACAGGCCAACGAGTTTGCCTTACGGTTCGAGCAGGTAATTTCCATCGATGCTCCACGGCTCATGCGCCAGCGCCGGAACTTTAACACCATGCTGCAGCCCATCTTCCAGCTCATGCGGCTCTTCCTTAAGGAGAAGCAGCTCTACGCCGGTATCCTACGACGCTTTCCCCCAGAGATCTTTCCGGGTATACTAGTGGCCTTTGCCAAAGTCCTAGAAGCGGCCATAGCAAAGATAGATCGCCATTTCCGCGAGGGAGGATCAAAAGGGTTAGGCATGGCCCTCTCCGAGGGCATCGTTGCCCTCGATCAACTAGGCAACTTTTACTTCACCGGCGATCAAAGAGTACTACCCACCAAAGTCATAAGGCTCCTTGGGACGATAGATAGCCTAAAGACGTATAGATAGCCATTCCTATCTCCGCGGATGCTAGACATCCGGGAGGGACGGGGGCTTATTAACCTAGTAGGGTGGCCGCAGCTAAACAACGGACGGCCGGTATTAATACATATTGCCTCGCTTAAGTACCACTACGATCGCTCTATAGCTACCAACCGACACAGCTAACTATGGTTTGCCGAGCTGGGGGGCCGATCGATAGATGGGATGAATAGAATAACGACGTTCCTCCACGAGGTATTCCGAGACTTATAGGTACCGGAGATAGTCGCCTTCATCTGCCGACAAGTTCGCCGTGGTCTTAATCGTGGCCTTCGCGGTGGCGGCGGTGGGCTACGCAACGACGACGATATAAACAACAATAATGCTTAGGCGATAGTAGCCTTAGGAGCATGGGAGGAGCGGGAAACCCTATTCAACTTATCGTATATATCTTGCCTTTCTCACCCCATAATATCACCCTATTATTATTATTATTATTTCTCCTTCCCCGGGCCTTTCTACCTCACTTTCCTTCCGATAATCAAGTGAGAGAGCTATACTAACTATATGTTTTTTCCGATTATAGGAGCTTTAAGAAACTCTCGGTTAAGGTTCTAAAATTCGATAATCGCTCGATCAACGATTCGAAGATGGTTTTGAAAACTCGACGAGACTTTGCCGAGGAGATATATGCAGCGTTGATGGAAGGCGGTAAGAAAGGTCGCCCGGGAATCGAATCCATCGCACCGACTCATTCCACCTAGCCCTCCATCCTCCGGGCTGCCATCAAACACACCAGGGGCGGCTTTGCAACAAAGGCGCAGTAGGTCTCGGGCATCGCAGCTGCCATGGTGTCTACGAAGATTGAATGGGTGCCTGGCTCTCATCGTCGAAGGTTAACACATCAGCAGGTGATACAGCTCGTCGGGGCGGCAACGTCAGCGACTATGCTCGCAGCTCGGCCGAATAGTCTTAAGCGGCGAGCATTAGAGGCAGAGGCTCGCATAGCGGCCAGGCCAGTCGATGGCAAGCGAGCGAGAATACGGCCGCGGATCGACCTTAGCTATAAGATCCCATTCAAACAGGTACCCGACATCGTGAATAAGGGCTTCAACGAGCTACGACGGATATTCGCCAAAGGAGATCAGCGTATGCTATCTCACTACTACGTGGCGTACTGTTGTCTGATAGACTGCCTCGAGGATCCATTATGCGATCTCATGCTCATTCTAACCTTAACCATTACGGCATCAAGTGCGACTCTAGAGGTTTAGCCTAACACAAAGGTCTTTAGCGCCATGACTAAGCGAAGAGACCTAGCCCTGCTAGCAGCAAATATGGTGACGAGAATGCTCTGGTTCCTGCGGCCAGAAGCATTCCCGTGGGAGAAAGATAATGGGCAAGTGTTGCGAGTCTCTGAGATGACGAAGAAGATCGGTGAGCTATCTATCCATTTCCTCCCTAGGTCCTATCTCTAAAGATCTTGCCTATACGACACGGTCTGCCACAGCCTGCATACGGAAGCTAATCGTCATCATGTTGAACTACAGAACACAAGGGAGTCAACAATCGACTTCTTCGAGAATTAGGTTAGATCCAGGTTAAAGGCAGTCGAGATAGCCCGCGGAATTATGAATCGCGCCTCGCGCCGCAAGATAAGCTCTATAAGCTTCGCGACGACTTAATATTTCTTATAAAGGAGCCGAGAAACTTTATCGGGTGCGTATTTAAAAGCAATAAGCAGGAATAGGTGGATAGGTACTCGAGTATTATTCGAGATAATAATTAAACTAATAACTAAACAAAACTTATTAATTGATTGATTACCTGTGAACTATGCGTGATATTTTATAGATTAAGCCGGTCAACTCATTAGGCCGCATAAGTAGGCGTATGGCATACTCTAATTAAGACCTAGGACGAATTTGTGGGTTACAATGAGTAATATCGTAAGTAAAACTGAGCTGTAGTAAGCTTAATGAACTGTTCTCTTCGCCTTGGGGAAGGATATTTCATCCAGGCTCGCTTTTTCTATATTCTCTGCTCTATGGTCAAACACACAATCTAGGTTCTTAATTATTATAACTTTGATTTTTTCTTTTTTTTTTTCTCTTTCTTTTTTCTTTCTTCATACAATAAGAATTTCGGATAGCTATTCAAATCGTAGCTAGTAGTCAAGGAGATTTTAAGGGAATAAGAAGCAGGGCTTTTATGTAAGTCCGGCAAAGATATATATAACGGCTAGTATGATCAAGAATATACCAAGTCGGAGCATTAATCTAAGCTAGCATAATAACCTCCAAACCCCCAGACTCAACAATCACCCATACAACTTGTCCGTAATATTCACGATGACGGTGCCAGAGCCAGGGTCGTTCATATACGCTCCTACCTCTGGATCATTGAGAGGGCTCATATCTGGGCTGCATACCCAAATGACTGGACGTCCGAAAGGTATAGTCATGCTGCTTCCATCTTATTCCTCAACGAAAAGCTGCATTTGACAGCCAGCCAGATGCCGCTTGCATAACAGATTTTATAAGCTGACGTTCTTCAGCACGACGTGAGTGATGCCGGGCCTCCGCACCTCATCCACATCCCAACGATCTACCATAAAAGCCGGGCGGCCAAAGGTCAGAGCCAACATAGTCTTCCCGCATCCGGGAGGTCCAATAAGGACGAGCGAGGAGGGCCGACCCTCACCCGTACCGTTGATGAATGGCAAGGCCTCCGCAAGCCAGTCCTATATTCTAAGGGGCAGGTGCCAAGGGCGAAGCTCAAAGGCCGGCACATACGGCAGAGCAGGCGGCGGTTCCTTGCTTTTTAAGAATGCCTCACACTTGCCAGACATACCTGGGAAGTATCCTTTGAGAATGATCCGTGCTTCATCGCGAGAAGATTTCTCGTCAACAACCCTCCGGAAGAGCGCTTCCTAGTACGGGCTAAAGCGCTCCTCGCTCTCACACGGGTCAGGGTCGGAAAGAAATGCAAGTTCATCCATTATTAAAATTCTTAAAGGAGGGATATTGCCGTACTTTGCAGTAGACTTAAGGGTATAAGGGTAAGGACGGAAGGCACGGTGAAGTTAGACTGGCTTTATACATGGGGTTTGGCCTTATTGTAAGGTGAGAGTCGCAAATTGCCACGCAACGCGAGGAGGGGCAACATATAAACGCGTAATCACATGCCCTACCTACTAAAAGATGGTGAGTGATGAGCATATATGAGGTGATATAATTAGTTGGTTGGAAGTCCCGGAGTTGCAGTATAACAATATTCCTACTGCCAATGGCTTCAATGTAAAAAGCTGACAGATAAATCGGCTATTGCAGATCCTAGGTGGGGTTTAAAAGCGGCGGTGCGCTAAGCCCTGAACAGAAAACCGCGACACTGAGATAATACAATAAGACTGAGTGTCGCGGTTTTTGGCTGCTAAATTCGGTAAAGAAACATCGCCGCCTTGAACAACTTCTATACAACCAACACAGCATCTAGCGCGACTCGAGAGACCTTGCACCCTGCCGGTCTTGGAATCACTTCAAACCTGGGGGAAGGAATAACTATAAGATAATATCATGCAGGCCACCTGCTAATGCCGAACCCCAGTGACGGCGGGGGGCTTATTCATGTATATCATTATATCCAGGGTTAGGTGAGGCATTTCTAGCAGAAACTCCTTGACAAAATCCTCGTCCAATAACTCCCGATGCTCATAGAACGTCTTCACGATAGCCTCCCGCATCTTCGAGACCGTAGATGGGGTAGCAGTGTATGCTTCCCGTGCCGCATCTAATAGACACCTAGATCTCCACTGGGATCGAGCTACTGCCTGGAACTTCTCCACCGATAGATCTCCGAGGCGAGATATGTCATAGGTGTGCGCAAGTGTAAATACCTTAGAATGGAGAATTAGGTGGGAACCGTCGGGGGTGACCGTCTCTTCAGCAGGTGGGTCACCGGCATATGGGACGCCTATTTGGGCATTGTCGCTAGATATAGGTGATGGAATATTGTAGTCCCATAGGTAAAAGAACTATACCACGCAATCAACGGCCTGAGGGTCTGCGTCCCCAAAGTTGAATAAAGCTTTGCTAGTGTTATTGCTGGATTCGGCTATCTTCGTCTCGGCCTGGCGAAGTCTGGCAGCATTGTATTGGCAAGATCGGCGTATTATAGGAGACTAGGAGCACACCACGGTGCGGTGTAATTCATATAGCTTATCGGTCGAGATGAGCTCGATATCGGAATAGATGCCGGTATTGAGTAGCCTAATGGAGTATCAGAAGTAAGTTCTCATTAAGGGGCACTATCCGAGCTGACTTGCCTGCGTAGCCACGTCTTTTGTTCTTCCATGATAGAATTGGTTCGATTAGGCGCAGAAGATTTAGTGACCCTCTCTACCCCTTCTTGTACTATAGGTGGTGGGAAGAGCTCCGGGAAGGCGGACCGAGCTGTGTGTTTTGATTTAAATATGCCCTCTTTGAGTAGGTGTTGGAGGATCTGAATGAGCTGTTCTTTAGAGAAGACGGGAATAGTTAGGCGGTGTCGCTGAATGACTGCTTTGATCGATTTTTGTTTGCGCAGGGCGGCGTTCTCGGGTTTATAGAATATCTGTCTGCATCGCAGAGAGGAGTAGATAATTATGCACTTGGCCCTGGAGTGCTGCATGTGGTGGAGCGCTGAGCGAGCGGAAAGATCAGCGCGTCATAGAATGCTCCGTCCGTCGGTTGACGAAGAAGCAAGTTGGCTCGATGAGACGATAACCGGGTTAGGGTTATGGTTGGGGTTAGTATTTACTATCTAAGCTAGTCTGCCCGGGAGGTTTCTTCTAGCTAAAGATATAGCTTATAAGGTAAAGAGAGGAGATTTCTCTAAGGAGTAAAAAGAAAAGAAAAAAGAGATATAGCTAAGAAAGAGATATAGCTAAGAAAGAGATATAGCTAAGAGAGAGATATAGCTAAGAAAGGGGTATAAGGAATAAGAGATAAGGGATAAGGGATAAGGGATAAAAGGTAAATAATAAGGGATAAAAGAGAGAAAAATAGCCTTAGGAAGCCCTAGAAGTATTCCAAATCGACCTAGCTAGGTTACTAGGGGTATCTCGGGCTATAGAAGCCGCCGAGGTCGCCCTAGTCCTCATAAGGGCAAGGCTTATAGAGGAATCTAGCTGATTAGCCGCAAAGGGGCCAATAAGGTCCTGGAGCTTCTGATAGGCCTTAGCGGTCTCTAGGTCCATAAGGCCACCTGCGGAGAAGATAAGAGGCTGGAAGAAGGCCCCGAGAGACCTATATTTCCTGCGTTTCTCTTCTGCGGCCTCTCTGAGGGTGCTATAAGGGTCTTCCTTGGCAGAATCCTTTGAAATAGCTACGATTTGAATATCATAGTAATAGCGGCTATTTCCTAGGGTAATTACG